GAGGGGGAGAGGGAGAAGCAGGCTTCCCGCCGAGCAGGGAGCCCGATGCGGGGCTCGATCCCAGGACCCCGGGACCATGACCCTCGAAGGCAGACGCTTAACAACTGAGCCACCCAGGCGCCCCAGCCTCTTTATACTTTAATTCGGTGATGTACTACGTAAGCAGCATTACCCACGATAGATCCCTCATGGCAGGGTCTTAAATCTGCACTCACCTACGCAGCGGCCTTTGCCAGGAAGGCACCCTCGGCCACTGTCAGGTATGCCAACTCCGATAATGTGGATCTGGATCACTGTTTTCTCTTTAGAAGAGTAAACTCTGAGTTGAAAACTGAGCAACTTGACTCAACTTAAAATGCATTATGCAGTATTAATATACACCCAAAAGAAGTGTAAACATAGGACATTCTGGAAATTTGACATAGCTGGTACTCAGCAGTTCTCTACACAGAGGTGTATCTGTTAGTGATCAGCAAACGTCTGTAAAGGGCTGGTAGTGAATGTTTTAGACTTTGTGGCCCATAGGGTCTCTCTTGCAGTGACCCACATTTGCCACTATAGTGGAAAAGCAGCCGTAGACCATACAGAAATAAAGAGCACGTCTACATTCCAGTAAAACATTACTTATGGACACTGAACTTTGAATTTTAAACAATTTACTTTTGTCACAAAGTAATATTTTTGTTTGTTTTTAACGATTTTTATTTATTTAACAGAGAGAGAGCGAGCACAGGTAGGCAGAGCGGCAGACAGAGGGAGAGGGAGAAACGGGCTTCCCGCCAAGAGGGAGCCCGATGCGGGGCTCGATCCCAGGACCCTGGGATCATGACCTGAGCTGAAGGCAGCTTAACCGACTGAGCCACCCAGTCGGTTAAATATTACAAAGTAATATTTTAAAAAGTAAAAACCACTCTTAGCTTCCAGGCTATTCGAGAACACACAGAGGCTGGATTTGGTGTGCAGGCCATAGTTGGTTTGCCCGGATTCTGAGCAGCTCTGTCCAGTAGAACTTGCTGTGGTGACAGAGATGTTCTGTGTCTGCATCCCACACTCAGTAGTTACTCCTCATGTGTGGCTACTGAGCACCCGCGGTGTGGCAGCCAGGGCGCTGAGGAACTGATTTTTAATATTATTCAATTTTTAAAAAATATTTTATTTACTTATTTGAGTAAGCACGAGTTGGGGGGAGGGGCAGAGGGAGAGGGAGAAGCAGACTCCCTGCTGAGCAGGGAGCCCGATGTGGGACTTGATCCCAGGACCCTGAGATCATGACCTGAGCCGAGGGTGGATGCTTAACCAACTGAGCCACGCAGGTGCCCCAATATTATTCAATTTTAATATGAATTTTAGTTTAAATTTTTTTTTTAAAGATTTTATTTATTTATTTGAGAGAGAGAGAATGAGAGAGAGCACATGAGAGGGGGGAGGGTCGGAGGGAGAAGCAGACTCCCTGCAGAGCAGGGAGCCCGATGTGGGACTCGATCCAGGGACTCCAGGATCATGACCTGAGCCGAAGGCAGTCGCTTAACCAACTGAGCCACCCAGGTGCCCGAATTTTAGTTTAATTTTAAACAGCGCATGTGGGCTAGTGGCTCTAGTTTTGGGCAGTACAGGGCCTGCAGTGACTGCAGACGTGCAGCAGAAATCACGTTTAGAAATACCTATCACAGCGTTGTCCGTCGCAGAAAACGGGAATGATGGTGCACTCACACAGTGGAAAATACTTAGAGTAGTTGCAGACATTTGTTGAGTGCTTTCTTTAAGCCAGGCCGTGTTCTAAGCACTTTAGCTGCTCTAACTCCTTGGATTCTCGCCGAATGTAGTAGTGAAAAGAAATAAACTGTATTCTGTATCTGCCAACAGGGATGAATGAATCTTAGATGCACAAGGTTGAGTGAAAACGCAAGTCATGGGGCATCTGGCTCGCTCAGTCGGTGGAGCACGCAACTCTCGATCACGAGGTTGTGAGTTCAAACCCCATGGTGGGCACGGAGCCTACTTAAAAAAATAAAGTAGGGGTAAAAAAAAAAATAAAATAAAATAAAGTAGGGGTGTCTGGGTGGTTCAGTCAGTTAGGCGTCCGAGTCTTGATCTCAGCCTAGGTCTTGATCTCGGGGTCGTGAGTTCGAGCCCTGCATTTTAAGTAGGCTCCCGCCCAGCATGGAGCCTACTTAAAATGAAAAGAAAAAATGAATAAATAAACTTTAAAACAACAACAAAAAAGCAAGTCACAGAAATTGCACACCCTGTGATACCATTTTTCAAACCTCAAAAACAAGCAAAATGAAACATTGTTCAGGGATATACAAATTATATGGTAAAACCATTAGAAAGCAGGAGAAAGTGGGTACGTTGCCTTTGGGGCAGAGAAGATGCCCCAGTGAGGCTGGCTCTGTCCTGAAGAGGCAGCGGGGCTCCTGACCTGACCTCTGCGTGGTGGCACTCCTCTGTAGCAGCCCTGGTTGGGGGGTGAGCAAGCATCACTTCTGTTGACTTTGGAGAACAGTGTTTTCACTAAAAGCCACGGTCATTGTGGCATCCCTGCAGTTAGGATTGAACCTGGTTTCAGTTCACATTCAAGCAGATACTCCGTTAGACAAGGGGTTTATGTGCGTTGCCTTGGTTGGGTCCTTTAGATTAGAAAACGTGGTTATTTCTCCCGCTCAAGAACAGAGAATTAAAACCCTCTGGTCCCCAAATGTTTGTTTTTTGTTTCATCAAATCTCCTACTGGGTTGAATGTTACCAGAATTGAGCCACAAGAACTCAGTTTGAAAATGAAAAATCTGAAAACTGTAAAATAACAAATAGGTTTACTTATTAACTGTTACCGTGAAAGTGGTCATTAAAAATGGTCCAAATGGCACCTGAGGGGTGTTACGAAATTTTATAGTAGATTTCACCTCCAGGTTGGTGTAATTTCAACATTACGTAGTGGTTTATGGTGTTGGGTTCAGAGACATTTGTGCTCCTGAAGATCCAGTTCTCTGGAGCGATTCTAGCAAGTGGCTACTGAGCTGATTGTTGAATTATGTCAAGCTTTTCTATGTAATATGTGCATCTTTGACTTTTTTCCTTATTGTTCCATCTTTATTCTTTCCTGCGTTACTGACATGGGTTTGTCTTTTCTCCCTTTAGAGAGTTTTGAGGTGACAGTCACCAAAGAAGGTGATAAAGGGTTCTTTCTATCCCTCTTATGAATATTAACCCACTAACCTTGTTTATAAAATTGGGAATCAGCCCTTAAACAGAAGAAACTGTCATGCTCTTTTACCCTGATTTATTCTCCTACTTTGTTTCTATTTTTAAATATGTTGATGGAAATTCTATGTAACCAAACCCTTGGTTAGAAATATCTGGAAATCAGACATCCATTTGAACTGTATGGATAATACTGTACATTTTTTTTCTCAATTGAACTTCAGAGATTCACTTTGTAACCGTTTTCTGTGAGTTGTAATTTTGGAAGAGGGCAGTCTTATTTTTATGTGAAATACATTTTTCTGAAGTTATGTATATCAAAACATTTTTGTTTGTTCTCCCACAGGCAAGAATGGAAACCTAGATTTTCACCCCTAATTTAGCTTGTGAGCCAACTTAGATGTACTGATGTCCCCAGGCAGGCTTCTTTTCCAGGTCTGGTAGTCTAGTGTTGGCAACAAAGGCAAGTCTAGCCAATCCCTGCCCGTGACAGAACCGATCTTAATAGTGGACTATAGTTGTTGAAATGGATGCCTGAGAAGTTGGTATTTCTACCTTTCTCATTCAGTAGTTTGTTTTGATTCCCTAATTTTAGCCAGGCTCATTGCACAGGAAGACTTGTTTCTTTTGATTTTTCTTTCTTTTTTTTTTTTTTTTGACAGAATTTCTGTAATTATGGTGTTGAACCTATGACGTCACACTTCTCTTCTCGACACTTAACTGCATTTTAGCCTTCTCTCTGGTCCAAATCAAAATCGCTGCCCAGCTGTCCCCAGTAGCTGGGGACAGCTCTCCGTGTTCTCAGGCCACGGCTGTTTGCTAATGACACTGCTTTTACCCTGGAGCTATCTTAAGTACTCCTGTGAAATGCCTGTCTATATTTTCTCTTTTTCTCTTTTGTACTCCTGCATGAATGGATGCAAAGTTAAGCAAGTTGCTTGGAAAGCCAGAACATGCTTCTTTTTACTAAAGCCCCAGAACTTATCCCTGTCAAAGCACAGTGCCCTTGCTTTGTCCACAGACCCTCTAAACCCCTGGCTGCTGAACTGTTGTCGTTTCTTTTCTTTTTGGGGGCGTGGGGCCGGGGAGGGGAGGAAGGGGGTATGTGCAGATGCACGGCGCAGAAATTCTAACCTGCGCTGCTTTGACTCCCTAGGTGAGATCTGTGGATTTAAAATTCACGGGCAGAATGTCCCCTTTGATGCAGTGGTAGTGGATAAGTCCACTGGCGAGGGAATCATTCGCTCAAAAGAGAAACTGGACTGTGAGCTGCAGAAAGACTACACATTCACCATCCAGGCCTATGACTGCGGCAAGGGGCCGGACGGCACCAATGTAAAAAAGTCTCATAAGTAAGTAAGCTGGGCAGAGGGCGGGTGCGTTCGGAAGGCAATAGTGACCATTGTCCCTGTCCCCAAGACTCTTTTCTTTTTTTTTAAGATTTTATTTTTATTTATTTAATTGGGACAGAGACAAAAAGAGAGAGAGCATAAGCTGGGGCAGGGGGTAGAGGGAGAGGGGGAAGCAGACTCCCCATTGAGCAGGGAGCTCAATATGGGGCTCAGTCCCAGGACCCCTGAGTCAAAGACAGATGCTTAACCAACTGAGCCTCCCAGGTGCCCCCCAAGGCTCTGTGTTTTTAAAGATGAGGCAGAAGATATTTCTGGGTTGTCCCCTATGACACTATAAGCTCTTTGAGGGCAGGAATCCTGTCTGTTTACCCCACAGCATTAGATGTTGAATAAATAAATGAATGAGTAATTTTATCCCACCAAATACTCTGTTAAAGACACTAAGGCCCTGCAATGAAAATTGGAAAAGCCCACTTTTTCCCGAGGGAGGTATTTTGTTGTTAGGTTTCTTTTTTCTGTGAATTCTTTTTTTTTAAGATTTTATTATTTATTTGACAGAGAGAAACACATAAGCGAGAGAGGGAACTAGCAGGGGGAGTGGGAGAGGGAGAAGCAGACTTCCTGCCAAGCAGGGAGCCCGATGCAGGGCTCCATCCCAGGACCCTGGCCGAAGGCAGATGCTTAACAACTGAGCCATCCAGTCGCTCCTTTTCTGTGAATTCTAAGGGTGTAGAATTCCTTCCTGCTGGTGGGAGCAGGCTGAGTGCTACGTCCCCCTCCTGGCTGTGTCCCTGTCCTTTCTGCCGGCTGAGAACTACTGGTGTAACCGACGGGACTCTGGACAAGACCTAGATTTAGATAGAATCCAGTCTTTACTTTCTTTCTTTCTTTCTTTTTTAATGCTTAATCCAGCAGCATATACTTTTTTTTTTTTTTAAGATTTTATTTATTTATTTGACACAGAGAGCACAAGCAGGGGGAGCTGCAGGCAGAGGCAGAGGGAGAAGCAGACTCCCCGCAGAGCAAGGAGCCCGATGCGGGGCTCGATCCCAGAACTCTAGGATCATGACCGGAGCTGAAGGCAGATGCTTAACCGACTCAGCCACCCAGGCGTCCCAGAATCCAGTGTTTTCTCCACCACTTGCTATCCCTTCGGCATTAGGCAAATTTCGTTTTGTTGAGTCTCAGTTTTTACTTAGCACCTGGGCTAAGGGGAGAGGGGCACTCAGGGGACGATAGCACGTGACCCACTGTGCTGGGTCAGGAGGATGCTCCACCTTGGGTGTGGAGGGTCTTGGTGAACACTCGGGTGCTGAGAGCCAGTGAATCTCTCCTCATCCCTTTCGCACGGTGTGACATTACTGTTGTCCTTGAAAAAGGCATTACTTCAGTCAGAGATCTTGTCTGAGTCAGAAACACGCCCTGATCAATAGCCCTTGAGACTGACTGTTTCCTCTCTTTGCAGCCGCGTCTGATGGCACCTTTGTTGCCTCTTGCCCGAGCTGGGGAGGTGGAACGTGGCAGCAAGGGGTCTGCTAGGAGGGGAACATTGAGGTCATGTTGAGGTCCTTCGTTGGTTGGATCAGTAGTGGGGGATGGGTAACAATGGGTTGCTAGTGGTCTCGGTTCCTTAGAAGTGGGACAGAACTTGTTTCCATGCTCTTAGTCAGACTCCCCGTCCATGTTTCCCATCTTCTATGTCTTACCGCTTCTTCCTTGGGCTCTAATTTCGTCTTACCTAGTTTATCCCCCTTCTGCATGCCCTGTCCCATACTGTCAAGACAACCCCAAGTCTCTTTTGTTTTATACTACTGCCCCTTTTTTCTTTTTTTTTTAACTTTTTTAATTAAAAAAAAATTTTTTTTAAGATTATTTATTTATTTGGCAGAGAGAGACACAGAGAACAAGCACAAGCAGGGGGAGCAGCAGAGGGAGAGGGAGAAGTAGGCTCTCTGCTGAGCAGGGAGCTGGATTTGGGGCTCGATCCCAGGACCCTGAGACCATGACCTGAGCCGAAGGCAGACGCTTAACGACTGAGCCACCCAGGCGCCCCCTTGTTTTTTTTTTTTTTTAAACCAGCCGCCTGACTCTTAGGACCTGGAAGAATCAACTCAAATTCCTATTTTAACTTTCTAAAGTCGTCTCCACACTAAAGTAAAAACAATGACTTGTTTAATTTTGATCTCCATCATTTGATCTTCATGAAACAAGATAGTAGCAAAAAGAAATTTAAAACCAGGGCAGAATTGCTATGCTCTGGGGAAAAAAAACAAACCAAACATACAGCTTTTTTTCTTTTTCTTCTTTCAGGGCAACTGTCCATATTCAGGTGAACGATGTGAACGAATACGCACCGGTGTTCAAGGAGAAGTCCTACAAGGCAACCGTCATCGAGGGCAAACAGTATGACAGCATCTTGCGGGTGGAGGCCGTGGACGCAGATTGCTCCCCTCAGTTCAGCCAGATTTGCAGCTATGAAATCGTCACTCCAGATGTGCCGTTCGCCATCGACAAAGACGGTAAGTCAGAGGAGCAAGCCTTCATTACCGGGGCGACGGTCCGTGGACAGGTCTGCACACGGGCGAGACTCAGATTCGAGACCATCTTCGTCCGTCCCTTCAGGCGGCTGTAACAAAGTCCCACAAGACGCTTAACTTCGCATGGTTCTGGAGGCTGGGAGACCAGGATCGAGGTGCTGGCAGATTCGGTGTCTCATGAGGCCTGAGGCCTGATTCACAGGAGGTCTTTCCGCTGCTTCCTCACGTGGTGGGGAGAGAGAGAGCCCTCTGGGATCCCAGTGTGGGGCCCACCCTCACGACCTCACCTAAACCTAAGTTCCTCCCCAAGGAGGACCTCCTTGTAACAACATCACATTGGGTGTTAGGACTTAAGCGTAGGGATTTGGGGGAACACAAGCCTTCAGTCCATAGCAGAGAGCCCTGATGGGGTGTGTGTGTCTCCTGAAAGCCTTGCTCCTGACACCTGAAGTTGCACCCTTCTTTTTCCTCTCCCACCAAGGTCTAAAACATCCCCCACTTAACATGTTTTTAATCCGTACCTTCTCACCTTTCCATCAGTGTGCACCCAAAAAGACTGACCTTCGGTTGGTCTGTTTTCTGTTGTTAGATTTGGATCTTCTGCCTCATCTGGAACGTGAAGGCTTATGCCTTCCTGCCAGATCCTCCCGTCCTTCGTCACTGAGCTGAACGAACTCATGCTAAACTCCGCTTCTTTATTAGGTTATGGCTTCTTGATGGTGACACAGTGTCTCTGTGGTTGATGCCCAGTCCAGAATCTTCTAAGGAAATCACGGACATTGCAGACTCTTTGCAGACATCTGCACTCAGATTCAAAAAGCAGGCTCCTGTTCTGGTGGGTGGGGGTAGGAAATCTCTGCCTGTCTGACACACAGACACACACACACACACACAAAGTAAATCTTTTAATAAGAAATACTTAGTGCAGCTTGATCTTGTATTTCGTATTTGAATTACTTGAGTTATTTTGTTTTCTTTGTCCTCTTACATGTGAACTACTTAATCTTAAAACAAATACATAAAACCAAAAAAGAAAGACCATAAGAATAAATGAAGGTTGAATTGTCTAGTCTCGTTCCTTCTGTTGGAACAGTCCTTAAAGGTGGACTTAGTGTGTGTTCAAGCTCGGGACAGCCAGACCGAGTGTTAATTATCTCCAGCCGAGGTTTTATTTCGCCATCAGTGTTTATGACGCTTGAAGCTCGTGAACTTGGTGTCTCAGTCCGGCTCTGCGTTCTCACTGTTGTTCTGCCCCTCTGGAAGGTTATATAAAAAACACAGAGAAGCTAAACTACGGGAAGGAGCACCAGTACAAGCTGACGGTCACCGCCTATGACTGCGGGAAGCGGAGAGCAGCCGAAGATGTCTTGGTGAAGGTCAGCATCAAGCCCACCTGCACCCCGGGGTGGCAAGGTGAGCTTCGTTCTCCTTTCTGCTCTCGCACCTACTCTTAAACGCCATCTACCAGAGAAAACTAAAGTATGAGTTTTCCTCCTTTCTCCCCACCCGGGTTTGTGGACTGATCCAGGGTGGAACAATAGGATCGAGTATGAGCCTGGCATGGGCCCTCTGGCCCTCTTCCCCAGTGTCCACCTGGAGACATGTGATGAATCCGTGGCCTCGGTGCAGGCGACGGTGGAGCTAGAGACCGGCCACATCGGGAAAGGCTGTGACCGGGACACCTATTCTGAGAAGTCCCTTCACCAACTGTGTGGTAAGGGGGCCCGGTGGTCTTCAGGGAAGGCGAGAGACCCCCTCTCAAATGGAAGGGAATGTGTGCATGTGTCGCTGGTTAGAATCAGACATTGAAACAGACTTGGACTCTTCATCTGAAGTGGCCATTACTGCCTTCCTGGCTAATTTTCATACTTTGGGCTTTAGGAGGTTCATAAACCCCTAACAGTCTGTTCAAAATGTTACGTGCATGTGCATTTTAAGAACTAGTGATTGGAAGAAAGTATTTCTCTAACCTAGGGAATCCTCAAAAGAGGGATTATGTAAGTGGAGTGAGTTTGAAAGGAAATGAGATGTTTATCTCAGGACTGAAGAAAAAAACATAGGTAATGCAATAGCTTATGGCAAACATGAGATAGAAAATCAAAACTAAGAATAGTCCCATCTAATTTCGAGTCTCAGCAGATTCTTTTTACCACAAACATTACGTGAAGTCAGGAGACCAGTGGTTACAAATCTGATCAAAGCCTCGAGCTCTGTCTTCACCATCAGTTGTGGACATTTTTCTTGTTTATCTAAATGAGGTAGAGGTGAGGTGTGGATGCCTGGCGTGGAAACTGCTGAGGAAAAATGTTTCATTTCACCAGTGACAAGATACCCGTAACTTGAATGAGCTCTTCGTGATCTGAGGGTATTTTGTGCTTCAAGAGCTACTCAGTGTCCGCTGTGCAGCAGGCGTTCACCCATGCTTGCCTGTCTTTCCACCAGCCTGATCACAGCCAGCAGATTGAGGACTTCTTACAAAACTGGAATAAGCAAAAACAAAAAAGTATATTCTCTGCTAGCTTATCCCTATGATGAATATACTCTGGTTTTGCATGACTCTGAGTCCAAATATTCATGTACTTATATATATAGTTAAGAGGACTGGGACATATTCTGTTTTAAACTATGTGTGAGTAGGGGCAGAGGGAGAGAGAGAAGCAGGCTGCCCGCCGAGCAGGGAGCCCGATGCGGGGCTCGATCCCAGGACCCCAGGATCATGACCTGAGCCGAAGGCAGACGCTTAACTGACTGAGCCACCCAGGCGCCCCATACATATTTAAGTATAATGTTTAAAACTCATTTTCTCTCTCCAGTGCCATGATTTTTTAAGGTATTAAATGAACATTTTCTCAGAACAGTTTAAAGTCAGGAAGAATGGAAGAATTTCATATGTGAGTGCCTACTGCATGCCCTGAGTTTCCATATGTGCCCATCAGGCCTACAAGGAGGTGGTGTTGACCTCATTTTTACTGAGGAATGAACTGTGACTGGAGGAGGGTAGGTTCACATTTTTAGGAAGTGGCAGGCGCTCACATCTGACTGAGGTTTTATGTTAGGTCACGTGGCTCCGAGGAACAGGGAAGGACCAGGTGACTGGGGGAGCGCAGCCTTCTTCTGTGGACACATTTAAAAGAAAATTGAGCTTGGCAGTGTATAACGGCATTTGGAAAATTTGTTTCATGTTCTTTGGCTTACTGATTCCATCTGTAGGACTTTATGTTAAGGGAATAATGATGGAGTCACACACAGAGGTCCTCATAAAGGCAAGGTTTGTCATAGAAAAAAGTGGGGACAACCTCAGTGTTCACTAGGGAGACCTAATTAAATCACAGCATATCTGTGCAATGAAATGCCTTTCAGACATGTAAAATTACACAGAAGAATATTAATGGGGGTGCATGTATGTATGTACGTTACTAGACTCCATTTTTATAATATGTATATACTCATAAAGAAAAGAATGGAAGTGTTTATATGCAGATGTTAATAGTGGATATATTTGGGTGGGATTGCAAGTAAGGCTTTCTTCCTTTTTTCCTTTTTTAAAAATATTCACAGTTACTATTTATGATTTTTTTTTTTTATCAAAACCGTTATTTTTGAGGGAATGTAAACTGGGACTAGCCGATTGTATAAGATAAGGATGTAGCCTTAGTGTGGCTTTGAAACTATGCCTTTTAAGCCCTTCACATAAAGTGTGTTAAACGTTACTGTGTTGGCCTAGGTGCTGCGTCTGGCACTGCTGAGCTGCTCCCTTCCCCGAGTGGGTCCTTGAACTGGACTGTGGGCCTCCCCACTGACAATGGCCACGACAGTGACCAGGTCTTCGAGTTCAATGGCACACAGGCAGTGAGGATCCCCGATGGTGTTGTCTCGGTCAACCCGAAAGAGCCTTTTACCATTTCTGTGTGGATGAGGCACGGGCCTTTTGGCAGGAAGAAGGAGACGATTCTCTGTAGTTCAGACAAAACCGGTAAGTCAATTTGCCGTCCTGGCGCCCGTCGTACTCGAGTGACCCCCGCAGTGGTTGCTGGAGGCGGGGCTCCTGACTTCCCCCAGAGGCTCCCACAGGCTGGTTGGCGACACACAGCGTTCTGTGCTCTGGGCCAGGGCGCTCTGTCCTCAAGATACTGCACTGGTATTTGGTTGTTAGTTTTACTCAGTGAATTGGGTCCCACGTCGCAGTGAAACCCAAGTGTGTTTGTTTCTAAGTTCTGCCTTGGCCCAACTGGAGAGTTCACTTATGCTGATAAAACCGTGTCTTCAGAATCCATTAAGGAGATGGCCTTTACTTCTCCTTTGGGTCTTAAGTTGGCAGTTTACCAGTAGGATTTCTTTCTGCAGACATGAACCGACACCATTATTCACTCTATGTCCACGGCTGCCGGCTTATTTTCCTCCTCCGCCAGGATCCTTCGGAAGAGAAGAAATACAAACCTGCGGAATTCCACTGGAAGTTAAATCAGGTACGTGCCCGGAAAACTCGCTGATTCTGATTCTGATCTTTCAGAGACTCTAACTAGGTGCTGCAACTTTACACAGGACCAGCTACTTATGGGCAGTTTATGGGCACTGTATATTTATATTTATGAATAAATATAAAAATATAAAAAACTTTTTGCAACCTACGTAGACATTTTAGGCACAGTAACCATGTTTAGTTTCTTCTGATGACACTTCAGAAAAACTTTATTATATTTATTATATTACCTGTGGGTGATAGTATAGCAAATTAAATCCTTTGAACTCCTTTCCACTGAAAACCTCAGTTTTTCATTTCATAAGTGTGTATTTTATATATCCAGTATTAATATAAAGAAATTATAGGCTTTTAAATTAAAAATACTGTGTTGTAATTTATTGAAATAAGCAGCGCTTGCTTAAAAATTGGGCTTGAGGTCCTTGTATTGGTTTATTCATTACTTAAAGCCTTGGCTCCCCTGGGGGCCTCTGCAAATTCGGGGGTGCCACGGGATATTTTAAATTGTCACGGAGCCAGCAATCTCGACATCTTTCAGAACCCACACAAGCTACTAGCTGGAGGCAGTTCACAGTTTCGACATGAGGTCGCGTTATATCCCTTTTGATGATAGCCTGTCTCTGCAAAGTCGCCTTCCCAATAATTTCTGTGATAAAAAGCAAGTATCATGTGAGAAAAACCGATGTGTTACAGGAAACAAGGGGACGCTGTGAATTGAGGCCCCTCCATTAAAATCACAGCGGATCATTTCTCCTCTTGATTTCTGGTTGGGTCAAGATGGAAACCCGTGGCCTGAGCTTAGTTCTGTCTCATGGAGTTGGTGGGCCAGGGCTGACAAATATGCTCCCATAGTTGCTGGAATACAGCATCGTCCACGACACGTACAGGATAGAGGGGTGTGTGCCAGCATAAACGGGAGAGGAAGACCGTGTGTGGTAGTGCGAAGACGAAGCGATTGTCCAGCGGTAGCAGCATCCATTTCTTACTGTGTCATTTTCATTTACATAGAGACTCGGTCTCAGAAACTTTTATATATACAGTTTTTCAAGAAACTAAAGAAAGGTACAGTCCAGAGAAAGCTTTTTTGCAGTGTACGTAGAGTTCATAGGCACAGTTCTTTTATAATAACCATAGTCTATATTTATGTGTTTAGTTTCTTCTGATAACATTTAAAAAAAAAAACCTCACTATGGGAAATTTCAGAGATACGTAAAAGCAGACAGATTAGTGTAAAGAACAACCCCACATCTAGCTTCAATAGTTAACACTCGGCCAATCAGGTTTCATTATCAATGATTGTCGTTAGCTCCTCGAGGTAAATCCCAGATGTGGCGTTTCATTCTCTGTGGAGATAATGCAATATGTGTGTCTAAAAGATAAACATAATCATAATACTTTTTCACGTCTTAAAGAAATTAACAGGGTGCCTGGGTGGCTCAATCAGGTAAGCATCCAACTCTTGATTTCAAGTCAGGTCATGATCTCAGGGTCATGAGATCGAGCCCCGCATCAGGCTCCACGCTCAGCATGGAGTCTGCTTGAGATTCTCTCGCTCTGCTTGTGCGCGTGTGCACGCTCTCTCTCACTCTCAAAAAAATTAACAATTCCTTAATATCGTCAGATATCTAGCCAGTGCTCAAGTTTCCGATTGTCTCGTAAATTTTTTTTTTTTTTAATTTATTTGAGAGACAGAGCATGAGTTGGGGGGAGGAGTAGAGGGAAAAGGAGAACACTCCCCGTCGAGCAGGGAGCCTGACACAGGGCTCCACCCCAGGATCCCGAGATCACACCCCAAGCAGAAGGCAGACGTCCAACTGACTGAACCACCCAGGCCCCTGTCTCATAAATATTTCTACGTTTATAATCTGTTTGAATCAGGATCCAAATAAGGGGCCGTACATGGTGACTGGTTGAGTTTATTTTATAATCTGTAAATTTTTCCCTTCTCTCCTGTAATTTATTTGATGACAAAATCAGGCCGTTTGTCCCACAGAGTTTCCCATAGTGTAGATTTGGCTGGTTGCATCCCTGTGGGGCCATATATTCCGTTCTCTTCCTTACAGCCTGTAAATCAGTAATGTGGCCTTGAGGCTTGATCAGGCTCGGGTTTGCATGTTCCTGGTCCCTTTAGGCTCTGTGTCTGGTTGTTTCTGTTTCTGTGATGTAAGGAGCCATTCGTGCTCACTCTGTCTCCATCATCTGTGTTGTGGGGCGTGTGTCCTCAGGAGGGAGTCATGGGAACAGCCTGAGTTCCTCCATGTTTAATAGTGTGTCTGTGGCCTTTACATGGAAGGTCAGTTTGGCTGGATATAAAATCTCTGGCTCCCATTTAGGATTTACAAGAACAGAGGATCTCTCTGTCTATTGTCTTCCGACATAAGATGCTGCTGGTCGTCTGATGGCCATCCGGTCTTCTTTCCCTTGTAAAACACTTGGTCCTTTCGTTTGGGTGACCAAAGGATTCTTCTCTTTTTTGAAGCCAGTTAATTTTATGCCTACATCGTGATTGTTTTGGGTCTGTTTTCCCAGATATGTGGTATGCCCTTTTTTAGTATATAGTTGAAGCCGTTTGGTATTTCAGGCAAGTTTTTGATGTTGTTGTGAACAGTTCTTAGCACGCCCCCCTCATCATTGTGCTTTTCTTCCCTGGGGACCCGTCGCCTTTGGTTGGTATTCCTTACCTATTTTCTGTATCTGGCACTTTCTATCCGAGTCATTCCTGTTTTGTCAGCTCTTGTCAGAGTTGCTGTAGTTAGGAGCTACGTTCTTTTTTTTTTTCCTTAAAGATTTTATTTATTTATTTGACAGAGAGAGACACAGCGAGAGAGGGAACACAAGCAGGGGGAGTGGGAGAGGGAGAAGCAGGCCTCCCGCCGAGCAGGGAGCCCGATGTGGGGCTTGGTCCCCGGACCCTGGGATCATAACCTGAGCCGAAGGCAGACGCTTAATGACTGAGCCGCCCAGGCGCCCCCAGGAGCTATGTTCTTTCATGTGTTGTGTCACTTTCCTGACGTTTCTAGTGTGTACATGATCATTTTCATGTTTGTTGCCGGCGTGTCTTGAAAGGGGGTCTGGAGGGATATTATTCCAGCAGTTCTCTTTCTTTCTCTTAAAAAGTTCATAGGGGATTGAGCTTTCTCCCCTCCTCATTTTTCTTATAAAATTCCTTTTCCTGTACTTTCATGCGGGGTGGGGGGAGTTGGGTAGCCTGACCTTTTTCCTAGTTTCTGGGCTCTGCCTCCCCCTTCTGTTATCATAAAGCATCTCAACAAGTAAATACAGTCTCACCGTCCTCTGATATCCCCCGGACCTGGAGCCCTGTTGCTTTTCTCCACCTATGAGCATCTCAGAGTGCACCCGGGCGCTGGACTAAGGAGTATCGTGGGTGTTGTCTGTGGCTTTGGGCTTTGCTATTCTGCTCACCCAGTTTTCAGGGAAATCCGAAAATTATGCCAATTCTAGCCCTGTCTTCCCAGAATACTCTCATGGACTTTTGACTAGAGTCAAATGGATTTTCCATTACAGTGTCATTCTGCTGATGCTCCAGAAACTAGGGGGACAATAGAAATTGCTTTCTGAAGGAGCTAATACTACAGAACTTGTTTTAAATACAGACAGGCTGAAATTAAGATATTACCTGCCTCAAAAGTGAATTGCTGTGCAATTCCTTCATTTAAAAATGTTTCATGTAATCAATATATGTACTGATCTGTTACGCATATGAAATAGACATGTGCACGGTGTTAGAGGTTTGAATTTTTTCTGTAATAAACTCATCAGGAGCAGTCGCTTTTTTCTGGGGGGTATTCTTTGGTAATTTCTTCATTTATTGTGTTGTTTCTGGTCTGTTGAAGTTCTCATCGGTTCAGTTTTTTAGAATGTGTAAATTAGGCAAGCTTATTTAGAAATACCTTTTTAAAAACTTCTTTATCCCACTCCGTCTCTTTCTCTGCCTGTCTCTGTTCTTGAGTGCCTGCCTCTTCCTCTGAAGCCAAAGATGAGGGGGTGCCAGACTGAAGGGGCCTTGCCGGACTGAGAGCGCTGCCGACCAGCGCTTTCCCATGGCCGCGAGAGAGATGCTCGTTCACGATGGGGAAGGAACACGGTTTAATTTATCATGCCCTCTGAGTTGTATGCTCAGTTTACTTAGATCATCACCTTTGAATTGAAAAAGAAGATACATGTGCTGCAGCATGCCTTATCTTGAGATGGGAGGTGTTTTTCATTTTGATCCAGAAAAGGAGGCATGGCCAGTAGGCGGGCTAAGCCAGCTCAGTGGCAGGCTCTCCAGCCTGCCGATACCAGAATCTCCTGGTGTCAGACTATTGGCAGAAGAGAATTGGGCAGTTCCGTACTCTGAGGCCCTGTCGCATGATGAGTGAGCACTGCCCTCTGGTCTGGAACGCCCTAGAGGTGATAGTGTTGCTTTGGCCCTTTGGGGTGAGATGTGGTTGAGTGAGTGAGATGTATTTTGTTGTTAGGTTTTTAAAAAATCGTTTCCTTTTCCAGAAGACATTATTCCTTATGGGTGACTTGCTCTCCGTATCCAGTTGTATGGCTTTCGTTGTTTCTGGATGAGAGGGAAGGTAGACATTTCGTGCTCTGGTTTTTCCACTGGCCTCTCGTAGGTCTGTGATGAGGAGTGGCATCACTACGTCCTCAATGTGGAATTCCCAAGCGTGACTCTCTACGTGGACGGAGTTTCTCATGAGCCCTTCTCTGTGACCGAAGATTACCCGCTTCATCCATCCAAGATCGAAACTCAGCTCGTGGTTGGGGCCTGCTGGCAAGGTAAGGGTCATTGGCGCCCTCTCCCCAGTCTCGGGAAGTAAATCCTGCCTCTCGGCCTTAGCGGTGGAAGCAGGCTCATCTCAGTGTCTCACCCCTCACCCTCGTGTTCTTCATCTTTTTGTCCCTTCTCCTGGGAATGGCCTTTCTGGGGACACTGCTGACGTCATACTTTGGGGCGCTCACTAACGGTGTGTTATAGGACTAAAGCAACCAGCCCCTTCTGGGAACCTGGGAGGGAGAGTGCAATTGAGGGATTGTTTTTATAAAGTAATCTGTTTATTGAAAAGTTCACGAAAACAGAGAGGCGGCAACTGACCATCAGGCACAGAACTGTAAGTGTACTTTGACCCAGAGGACTCTTCCAGAGCGTTGAGTGAGGGCTAACCCAGCAGGAGCGGTGCTTGAAGGGACTCCCAGGACGTCTCTGCTGCAGGACCAGGGATGGGATATGACAACCACCAGAGCAACAATACCATTTATTCATACTATCTGACTGGCAGGCCGCGTGCCGATTACTTTATATGCGTTCTCTCACTAATCCTTAACAGTAAGTGTGTGGGGAAAGAGCAGTTTTTAGCCCCATTTTATAGCCGAAGAAACAGGCTCAGAGCCCAGGGTTACCCCGCTAGTTAATCTTGGCATCAGGATTTGAACCCCTGAAGCCAGTGCACTGGGAGCCTGTGATCTGATGGGCACCCCTTCTCAGGATAATTTTATATTAATCTATGAAACAAAATACGTAGGATTTCCAAAGTAACCAATGAAATGGAAAGAGAGTTATCAAAGTACTAGAAGACGGTTTTGAGATGGTAATACCTGTGCTGCTTTATTAACAAATGTTGAACAAGCTCTGGCAGCAGGTTTAGTAAGTGCCGTAATCTGGAAGTAGTAACAGGGTTCGTAGTATCTGCAGCATCACGACATGCTGGAAAGTAGCGGTGACAGCCAGGGCTGTGCTTCGTAGTGACATTCGTACCCGAAGGGAAAGCCAACCTGCAGAAATCCGTGGAAGTAAGCACGTCATCTTTCCCGCCCGAGCTTGCAGGACCCTCAGCCTCCCCGCGAGGCTCATGGCCTCACACACGAATCCTCACACTCGATGGGGTTGCCCTCACTGCCTGTACCTGCCAAACAGACCTCTTGGTATTTCTTTCTCCCTGTGGAAACATCGTCCCTTGAGGTCGGCGGGAAATTTACCAAATAGCCTAATTCCCGTGACAGCGTTGCTTTCATTGCGGAGACTTTGAATTTCATCATTTTCCTGCGGATCCTTTTAAATTGAAAAGGTTGAGACAGCATTTTAGAGTGAATCTCTAGCTGACTCCTACTAGATTTAATTTCGGGGACGGTTCATCTATGAGAAAGTAGAACTTGAGGCCAAGGAACGAGGAACAGATTACAGGGAAGTGGGAATTGTTTTAGTTGCTAAGTCGATTTTTTTGTTGTTGTTGTTTTTAAGATTTTATTTGAGAGATAGAGCATGAGCGGGGGGAGTGGGAGAGGGAGAAGCAGGCTTCCCGCGGAGGAGGGATCCCGATGTGGGGCTCGATCCCAGGACCCTGGGATCATGGCCTGAGCCAAAGGCAGACGCTTAACGACTGAGCCACCCAGGCATCCCCTTAGTTGCTAAGTCTTAACATTTCAGTCCAGAGTTGCTTCCCAAATTAAACAATAATTCACGTTGTTTTAAAATAAGAATAAAAAAATAAATAAAAAAATAAAATAAGAATAAAAATATGAATGCAAACCCAAGAGCTTTGCTGCTTGGGTCCAAGTAAAGCCCCTGTTCTGGGCTGCCTCCGGGGCCTGTTTGGGCCAAAGCGTCTGTCACCCACTGGCCATCAGCTTCATCTCTTTCTACCTCAGCCTCTCAAGATCCTCAGCCAGGAAAACACACCTAAGCTCCCAAACACATGGTTTATAAAATGTAGTTACCCGGGGGAAAGATCTCCTTCCTCCCTTTAGATTTTTTTTTTTTTTAAGATTTTTATTTATTTATTTATTTATTTGAGAGAGAGAGTGAGAGAGAGAGCACAAGAGGGGGTAGGGTCAGAGGAAGAAGCAGACCCCCCGCCGAGCAGGGAGCCCGATGTGGGACTCGATCCCGGGACTCCGGGATCGTGACCTGAGCCGAAGGCAGTCGCTTAACGACTGAGCCACCCAGGCGCCCCCTCCCTTTAGATTTGAAACCACTTCCCTTACACATCATGGTGGAGGATCCATGCTGTAAGCAGCAGCCTCCCGCCCATCGACCGAAATGTCATCCCTAACGGTGTTCTGGAGGCACCTGGAGGCATCATGGGAACGCAGACGCTTACGCCAGGCCTGTCCCCAGCGCATCCCCGTGCCGCTGCAGCACGGCAGGCGTGGGGGCCTGTGCCGTGGGCTGTGGGGTGCTCCCACGACACAGTCTGGAAAGTGGAGAGTCTGTGCTCAGTCGCTGGGCCTGGGCCTCCCTGGCCTGCTGTTACTGTCAGAACACCGGGCCAGGGCCAAGAGGGATCAGTGGTTAGAGGCCCCGGGCCCACCACCGATGACTGACGACCTATTTCTGGGTGAGTTCCTTAACCCCAGACTCTCCCTTTCTGTTCAGAAAAAGTGGGTCAAAATGCCTTCATTTCTCTGTGGCTTAGGGGTTAAAGTCTGGACCAAAGTGAACTTGTTTGGAGCTCAAAAAACACATAGTTTTATATGTTTACCGTACACATACCAGGCTTTGGATGCTTACTGGTGCTGTCCCATTTTGTCTATACAAGTGTCCTCCCTATTAGGGAGAGAAATGCTGTGGGCCCAGGGTTTGGTTGTATTTGTATCTGGCACGTCTCTGCCGTCGGTCTGAGCAGCCTCTTTGGAATACCCCACCCAGTAACACAGGCCGAAGAGATGGGAGTTCAGTGGACATGCTTTTGTTCGTCCTGTTTTGAATTGGGCCTGGTTTTGGCAAGGCAGGTGTGCAAAGATAAAAGAAGAATGCGGAGAGGCAGGGAGCAGGGGGTTGGAAAAGGTGAGGGAGTAAGAGCTTGCTTGGGGGAGGGGAGGTGTCCCCAAGGGGCCCAGACAAGAATTCTTCCCTTTGTGTTTTATATTCAGTAGGTAGCTTTTCAAGACTAATTTTCAAGTTCCAATGTGAAGAGCCTAACCTCTTGGTCCTTTTCTATTGTCTTTGTCTTGCTTTTCTACAGAGTATCCAGCATTTGAAAATGACAATGAAACCGAGTCTGTGCCTATGGCCTCAACAGGTTGCTGGATCTTTCCCTACGGTTCACTCTTGTGTTTCATTTAAAGACGAGACATCAATTCATTCCACGTTTCGCATGAAATGCCCGAGTTGCATTTTGGTCCCAGAACCATTTGAGCTGCTGCTTTGCATTATGCTCCCCCCACTGCTTCACGGGATTGACCCTTTTTTTTGCCCAATCTGATCCCAGTTGAAGTGAGGGCAAATGACTCATCAATGCACTGCACTGATGGGACTCCTCCCCCCACCCCCCATCAGATTTGACCCTGATCCCACTGCATGAGGCTCCCTGCTGAAATCTCACAGGTCACATCAGGGAGGCCACCTCCTGGTTCCCCTGTGGCTGAACCACAAGACGGGAAGAGACTCATTACTAGATTCTCTGTCCTGACCAATACTAAATTTTAGACATAACGTTTCTTAGAAATTTCAGTCCCTGGTGATGGCTCATAGTGTCTAATGTCCTTATCAGGAACGAGACATGCTGTGGACATGGGTCTCCTTCGTCATTGCGAGAATAAGTTCCGTTTCACCTGCTTTGGGCTCTTGGCTACAGTCCATCAAGGGCCACTTTCTGGGTCTCCATTTTCCTTATAACACCATCAGTTGCCAGCTATCCTCAGTCGTGGGGGCCGGCCCGATGGGACTCAGCCAGGTAGCAGCCACACAAGGCCTCTCATGTGCAGGCTGGGGGAGTAAGCGTCCCTCTTACCTTCCTAGTCCTGTCGGTGTGGGTTCGTTCCCAAGGTTGTATGTGTCCCCGAGTGTGCTCAGTCAGAAAAAGCAGCCCAGAGCGTGACCCAGCTGATCGAGAAGGCAGTGACCCAGGAGGCTGGCGCTACTGGAAAATGTCACCAGTGCACAGGGTGATGGGGGCAGCGTAGGCCACCCTTTCCAGGAAGTGGCCGGTTGCGTGGGGACACTCCTGGGACCTCTTGGCTTCCGGGCTTTGGGTGAGGGACCCCCACCACCTCTTTTCTCCATGCCATGTGCATGATCATAAACAATTTAATTTCTCCATTGCGCTTCCATGTAGATTGCAAGGCTAACAGGATTTGGTACGAACTAACCCGCATGTCCTTCCATCCAGCTGTCACCACGGGTAACGCTGCATTGTGAGGCGAAGCAGGAGGCCCCGGGCCGTGCACGTAACTGCCTGCTTTGTCCCCCCGTGTCCCTAAGGTGGTGAGCTGCACATGACCCAGTATTTCCGAGGTAACCTGGCCGGCCTGACCGTCCGTTCCGGGAAACTCGCTGACAAGAAGGTGATCGACTGTCTTTATACCTGCAAAGAAGGGCTGGACCTGCAGGTCCCCGAAGACAGCGGCAGAGGCGTGGAGGTAACCTTGGCATTGCCTCGCATGGCCCTGCTGACCTCCTCGAGCACCGGCATGCAGGCTGCTGGCAAAGGACTGATGTGTTTACTCACAACACCTCTGACCCCAAACGTGGGGGGGGGGTGTTCCCTGGAACCAGTCCCCACCTCTCCAGACACCTGCACCTCCACATGTCCTGCAAGTCGCTTCACTTCCGACACTGACTCCCAGGAGTTAGCACAGAGCCCGCAGAAGAGGAGGGCTCGGTGCCACCACACTGCCCCTGCTGCAGAGGCTGTGTGCAGGTGCCGGGCCCTTGGGTTACCCACACTTCTGTCCAGCTTGGCTACAAAGTTAGGGGCCCCCGTTATCCCCCCCCTTTTGGGTTTCAGTAATTTGCTTGAACTACTCAGGAAACTGCAGAAAACACTTTGCTTACTGCTGCTGGTGTATTATAAAGAATACAACTCAGGAACAACCAGATGGAGACATTGCAGGAGGCAAGGAAGTGGGGAGGGAGGAGGGAGCTCCCCCCGCCCCAGGAGCGCCACCCTCCCACACACGGGAAGCTCCCAGACCCTGTCCTTCAGGGGTGTTTACGGAGCTTCTGTCAGGTACGCACAGCTGGTTAAATCATTGGCCAGAGGTCAGGGTTGGGGCTGATAGCCCTGGAGTCACACGGGCTCTGTGGTGGCCAGCTCCATCCCAAACCGCCTCAGCCGCCCAGAAGCCACTCTCGTTAACACAGATGCTGCTGTGCTTGGAAGGGGCTTATTGTGAGTAACAAAAGGTGCTCCTGTCACTCAGGAAATTTCCAGCGTTTGGGGGTCTCCGTGCCAGAAACCGGGGATAGAGACCAAATATATATGTATTTCTTTTTAAGATTTTACCGTTTTTAAGTAATCTCTACAATCGCGCAGTCGAGTCACGCACTACACCGACTGAGCCCGCCGGGCGCCCCCGTATTTCTTATACCACAGATACGTTTGCACCTTGGGTGTTTTCCCTTGAACAAGAGGGTCTCGTCACTGCAGTTCCATGAGGTTTCCTCCCCAGGTCCCCAATTCAGACCGATCCCCAGCTGACCCTCTTTCTTTGCCAGAGTGTGTGTGGTTTCAGCTTCTTGCAGTTTCAACCCTTTTTTTCTCCCCCTCTGGCCTGATTTCAGATCCATACGAACCCCAGTCAGTTGGCGTTGACCTTGGAGGGAGACGACATCGGGGAGCTGGATAAGGCCATGCAGCACGTTGCCTACCTGAACTCCAGGCAGTTCCCCACACCGGGGATCCGAAGGCTCAGAATCACCAGCACGGTCAAGTACGTGCTGATTCCTAACTCTTGAGAAGAAAACGTGTATATTTAGGTTTCTAAGACACCCCAGCCATCATTTGTTACCAGAGGGCATGGACGGTGTCCGTGAAGGGTGTTGGGCCCGGCCGCTACCTCTGTCCCCCCAGGGGCTTGGGGAATCCATGGGCCATTGCGTGTGTGGCCTGCAGAACCGCTTCTCAAAGCCCTGCCCCTTGCCTCCTCCATCGCTTGCCGGCAGGTGTTTCAACGAGGCCGCCTGCATCTCCGTGCCCCCGGTGGACGGCTACGTGATGGTGCTGCAGCCCGAGGAGCCCAAGATCAGCCTCAGTGGCATCCACCATTTCGCTCGAGCGGCTTCCGAATTTGAAAGCCCAGAAGGGGTTTTCCTTTTCCCTGAGCTTCGGATCATCAGCACCATCACGAGAGAAGTGGAGCCTGAAGGGGAAGGGGATGAGGACCCCACAGGTAACAGCTCTGCCGGGCTAGCGGCCTCCCCTTGGCTTGAACCCGGGCGGCTGACACCCCACGGCTGCTACCTAACTTCCTGCGTTCTTTTTTCCTGAGATTTTGAGATTTGGATGTTTTAATGTTATTCTCGGGTCTGCTCCTGGAATCTGACCCACGGTCAAGAGCTCATTGTGCTCTTCGGAAGCCCACCTGGAGAGTCCTTTCCTCCTTTTCCAGTGGGATGTCCAGATCTGAGCTGCCCTTGTGCAGGCTGAGAGGATCCGGGCCGATGGCAGCGGACGATGCAGCTCCCGTTGGCTGCATGGGGGCCAGTCCTCCCAGACACAGAAGGCACCCCGATTCTGCAAAGGGCCTCTCTTGTCCCTCTGTCATCGGTCTTTGAAAGGGCTCTGTGAGCTCGAGGACAGCCAGCAGGCCACCCAGCGTGACCGGCCTGCCTGGGCTCCCCGGCCTCTGCTATGGGTGCTTGGTCTGTTTTTGCAGTCCAAGAGTCGCTGGTGTCTGAGGAGATCGTGCACGACCTGGATACCTGTGAGGTCACGGTGGACGGGGACGAGCTGAACCCGGCCCAGGAGAGCCTGGAGGTGGACACGGCCCGCCTGCAGCAGAAGGGCATTGCAGTGAGCGCCTCCGACCTGGGCATGGTCTTCACGGGTGAGCGGGCCAAGGCCAGGCTGGGGGCGGAGCGGGAGCCTCAGCCCTGCCCCTGTCCTCTCTGAGCTCTGCGAGAGTCCGAGTCCTGGAGGCTCAGCATGGGCTGCTCGCCTTCTCCTGGCAGGAAGTACAGGTATTGCCCTACTTCCTGTCCTTACGAGGGGGTAGAAGTCAGGCTCGGGATGGCACCCGAGAGAGGGGCAGACGTGCCCACACACTCGCACTTCTCCCCGCAACTGGAAAGCCAACACACGTGCCCACTTGGTCCAGCCGCCCCCGGGCCCGACTCCGGCTCCCCTGACCCCGGCTTTGACCCTGGCTTTGACCCCGGCCAGCAGGCAGCCTTCTCACCCGCCCCCGCAGGTGTGGACAGCATGGCCAGCTACGAGGAGGGGCTGCGTCTCCTTCGCTATCGGAACTGGCACAGCAGGTCCCTGCTCGACCGGAAGTTCAAGCTCGTCTGCTCCGAGCTAAATGGCCGCTACGTCAGCAACGAGTTTCAGGTGGAGGTGGGTGATCGGGTGCCCACCCACGGCCCTGATGTTTGCAAACGCCACTTTCAGAGCATTCGTGTGACAGCGGTTGGGGTGCGTCCAGGGGCGCGCTAGCCTTTCCCAGCCCGGGGGGCTGCTGCAGGTTAGACCCGCGCAGGTTTGGGTGGGCCGGGTGCAGCTGGTGTGCCCCTTCCGTGGGCGTCTGAGGGGCCTTTGGAAGGAGGTGGTCAAGAGCTGGAGGCAGTTAATACCTCGTGAGTAGAGCCAACGTTGTTGTTCAGATTTGACTCTGCTTGAGAAAGAGCGATTCCCGGGGAACCAAAGATTCTTTGCAGACTGCTGGCCCCGGGGAGAGGGGTCCCGGCGCGGGGCTGGCCCGGGGAGAGGGGTCCCGGCGCGGGGCTGGCCCGGGGAGAGGGTCCCGGTGCGGGGCTGGCCCTGGGAGAGGGGTCCTCACGTGGGGCTGGCCCGGGGGAGAGGGGTCCCGGCGCGGGGCTGGCCCGGGGGGAGAGGGG